ATTGAACTGATTAAGTTGATGAACAATTTTCTTTTCTCAGTGAAAAGCTTAAATAATGAAACAGGTCTCTTTAAGTATGTATTTCACAAGTGACAATAGTGTGAGGCAATTGTCTAAGTCATTACAGATGCTAATTTAATTATTTCAGTGCAGTTGCAGCCGTGTTGAAGTTGACATCTGCCTTTCAAACCTAGTATGGCTAGAATTCTTAATAATGGCTCTGTATCCCAACGAGACAGACTCACACTGAGTTGGCATGAAACTGTAATTATATATCAACCTTTGGCTTTAAAAGCCTTTTGTGCTGGTGGATTTCTGGTCATGCCACTGCCCTCCAGCAGCTCTTTTATTGAAACTAGAACCAGAAAGCTCATTCAGTGTACAGTCGGAAATAAAACCACTTTGCTAGAAGGGGGCCGAATCTAAAATGTACTGCATCTAAGATTGTTGCCATGTTGCGTCCACGTTTCTCAATCACACAAACAGAAATGCACATTGCTGACTTGTTGTGGTGAGATGCTTTAATCAGATTATACAATAATTAATGTGCCATTAAAAGCTGAGGACAAAAAAGCACTGCCCTGAACTTATTGATAATGAAGTGAAAAAGGTTTTTGTGATACGTCTTTAGGTTTGTGTGAGTTTAAAGTCTGTGTGCCTTTGACATCATAATATGAAATGTAAGGGCTGTTGAGTAATAAGATTTTTTTAGATAATGCACATTCACCAGAGGTCGTCTCCTCTCTGACTCAATATCGCTCTTATTCCCGCTGAGATGTGGTTCTGATGCATTTATTGTCAATAACTCAGCCCCACTGGGAGTTTTTGTTGCCTTTAAAGGTCTAAGCCACCTACAGAGAACTCACTCATACTCAGTGACCACCTTGGTTCTGGGGGGGCACAGCAAGATTTGCTTGTTGTTAAGGCTAGAATTGATTGCACTAAAAGTGAGAAAAGGTCACAGGAAATATGAAGCTCGTGGTACTTGTATTGATGTGCATTCCAAGGGAAAAACTGACAATCAAAAAAATGCATATAATCAAAGTAGTACTGAATCATTGATGGAAAAAAACACAATTTCTAAAATTACTCAAGTCTGGAATTTGCAAAGGCTGCAATCACCCTGGTTCTTGCAAGCGTGTCACTTTGAATTCTATGCTAGATTAGTCTCTCGTGGTTGGATAATTGATTTTTGATGTGGCTCCTCACTCCTTCTACCTGCAGGCCTTTCATTCACATTTACCTGTCCACAAACGGAGTGGATGAAAGATTTAATGACAAATCAAAGATGTCATTTGGAGTTGGCTCGCTGGGATTACACGAAGTATTACAGCGGCTATTTTCCCCCCACAGATAGACTCCCAGCTGACAACTGGCTTGCAGCCCACTGGCGTAGAGGTGTTGGCGCTGCCTGAGGCTGACCTGTAAACACTTTGGCAGTCAGTGGTCATTTGGCCCCGGATAGACGGACTGCTCCGTCCAGGCACTGCAGTGTCTATCGCTCCGTATAATCACACAATAATCACAGCTTGTCCGTGTAGCAGAGGTTGCATCAGCTTCTCGCTGCATCGATACAGCTCCAGAGTCAGAAAACTTCATTTTCTTTCTAATAGAGTACAGGATTTTCTTCTTCCCCCTACCCCTTCTTTTCCTCCGTTTCTTTTCTAACCCGAGCCCTCAGATGCGAGACCCTTCCATTTCAAAAGACTTCATCGTCTGCTGGGTCAATGGAGTACACATCTCAGTTTGGCCTTCTTTTTGTGTGGATGAGAATTGGCTATACCCAAGGCAGCGGCGGCCCTCTCACAGGTTGTTAATGCACTGCGTCTCCCACAGAAATGCCAGGCTGGGATTATCTTCTATTGTAGATGATTTAACCTCTCTGGGATTGTGAAGTTTGAGGAACATAAATACACATTTTCTCACCCAGCATCTTTCATACCACGTTTGCATTTAAGCTTGTTTGCATTAGCTGTTATTATGACTGACGACTAGGCATTAAATGCAGCTTGAGGTGTGTTTATGTGTCTGAGTGCATTGACGTGCGTGTGTTTTGTGTTTTTGCAAGAGATTTGCTGTATATGAAGTTTGACCTTTGCAGGAAGACAGACCTGCTTTAAAATGGCAAGTTATTTATTGAAGTGACTTCCCTACACCCATCGCAAGCTCTAACAAATCACTGCTCATAATGTGAAAACATTCAAACAGCATTTCAGACACCCGGGGAAACACAAACGACTCTGTAAGTGTGTGAGATATGGGGATGGAATTATTCATACAGAAAAACTTGCTGTGTTGTGTCAGGTGATACAAGATTGTGAGGAATATGCGCTTATCCAGTTCTTAAATAGTCATAAAAAAATTTGTATTTCAAGAGAATACATTTATAGTGCTTCCTCTGGTATAAATAAAGAGAAAAATGTCTACACTTTGCTCCACTTAAAGGACATTTCACATAGAAGTCAGAAAACTTACTGTAGCAGATTTTATTCTTTTTCTTTTCCATCATGTGCTTATGAGATTTACCTGCACACCAGTGTTTTAGTTATACAGAATAAAATATGGACCCTATGCCATCATAAAATACAAACGCAAGACTGAACTTTCATTCCCCCGACGTCTCTGACTGCTGAGTTGTCAGGACGAGGGAAAGAATGTGGTGAAGTTTTTTGATGATCAGATCTTACTTTTGAACTCTCACCTTTTTTCTCTCTCTCTCTCTCTCTCCCAGGACCTGAATGGAACGTTGAAGAGTTTGCTGTCTGAGTGGTTCTCTGTGGGTCTGCTCCGACTGGAGAGAATCACCTGGCTGTCCCCCTGTGAGATCCTGCAGAAGATCAGCCAGTAAGAGCATTCATGCACCTTCTCTGTTTCTGTTCCTTTCTCATTTCATCGTAATATATGAAAATACATAAAATAAAATACAAAATACATCATTTGCCTAATTTCTCTTCAGATTCATCCATGCTTGTCACTTTCATAATACATATTAAAGGATACATGGGAGCTAAATGCCATAATACACAGATCAGGTTGCAGGTCAACAACATAAAAACAACAACAAATATATATATAGAGAGAAAGAGAGAGAGTCAAATTTGCCACATTGCCATTGTGAACTACACCTTTATGGGCAAGTAAAGCTTGATAGCTAGTGAACAGTCAAATAAACCTGAAACTAACAGTCAGTTCTGTCAGGTATGAGGCGGTGCACCCTGTGAGGAACTGGACCGACCTCAAGCGCAGAGTTGGGCCGTACCGCCGCTGTTATGCATTCACCCACGCCGCCATGCCTGGAGAGCCCTTGGTTGTGCTACACGTGGCCCTGACCGAAGACATTTCTGACAACATTCAGGTTAGAGGCCCCTGTACGGCTGCAGGCTGGTGTGATGGTTTGTTTAACTTCACCATATCTTGGATGAGTTGAACATCTGGGATTTAACACCTTGTTCCTCCTCTCAGCTGACAAATGGATCTCTGCTGTGTGGAAAACAATGCCAAGACCTTTAAACTACTTATCCTTGTGGGAGCGACCTCTGCAGTGCTCACTTCCTGTTATTGCTTTGTACTGTGGAGAAAAAAGGGGGTTTGACAACACAGAAATTTGAGAGTATTTCTGGCTGTGATAAAGTGTATCTCTGAAATATTTGAAAGAGACTCGTGTCCAGACTCCAGCTCTCCCGACCAGAACACAGAGAACACACACTGAATGAGCTGTCTCTGTTTCTTTCTCAGAGTATCGTCCGTGAGTTCGCCACTCTCGATTCCGAGGAGGATGTGAACAAAATAAATGCTGCTGTCTTCTACTCCATCTCCTCAACCCAGGCTGGCCTACAGGGCGTCGAGCTGGGCAACTACCTCATCAAGAGGGTAGTGCGAGAACTGCAGGTGGGTTATTATTATTATTTTAATGATTCAATACTCATAATGGGAACCGGAGACATCTACACATTTTGAGCCATTGTGATTTTTTCGGCTCTGTTTTCACACCAGAGCTCTAATGTGTATACCAGACCCTGAATTGTTACCCTGACAAAATAAGAACACAGACACATCCGGTTTAAACAAAATTGAAGGAACATAACTGAACAAACTAAGCAGAATCGATGCAACACTCTTGATATTGACATAAAGAACTTTGTGTAAAATTCTCTCATTTTTCTTTCAGTCATCCTTGAGGAAACTACTTTTCTGTTTTAAAATGCAGTAATGATTAATTGTTTGAATGGGAGTAAACAGGAGAATAAGAGAAAGAGCTTGAGGTGAGAGAAGAGGCAACATTTGTTATCTGGAAACAATAACCATCAGGTGTTATCAGTGAAGCCTTTAAACCATCCTGTCCCATAACGGCAAGATAATAACAACATATCATGACAGTGCACATGACACGGGCACTGATACAGCTGTTATCTCCTGCAGAGCTCCTCACCTGCCTCCTTATGGTGCAGTATCAGAAAGTGCTTTTTGTCTAAAAATGTGCTGAATTCAATTAAAAGGCCCGAGCCCTCAGGTGAAGTCCAGCTGGCACAGCATCGCTCCTGTGAAATAGAGTTGTGACAGGCAAGATTTGGGTTTGATTGCTTTTCACTAGTTTTTTTTAATTTAATTTTACTCTCCACGCTGAATCATGAATCTCCCACTTGTTTTACCACTTGCATGAACGCATTCACACAAACAGAGGGAGAGAAAAGCCAGTAATGTAATGTCATCCATCCCCCTCAATGAGCGCGGGAGCCCTTCATGTCGGGCCACTCCAGCTCGCACTTGTTAAATGATTGGAACGCTGAATGGAAAAATCCAAAGCCACTCTGCCCAACAGATGGGAAACGGCCCTTTGTTGTGTATCTTCATAAAAATCAGGAGCTCTAAGCTGCCTCCTCTTTAGTTATTCATACAACCAAACTGTTTTGATCACTGCAAGCTCTTCACTTATCTGTGTTTTTATTAGCGGCAACTCACGGTTTGGGGAACACAGCAAATATTGTTCTCATTGTCAGCATTAGGGCCATTTGTCAGAGGTCGGAAATCAGTGTTATTGTTCTGTGCGATAAAAAACGAACTGATGTGGAATGTTGTCCTCATCAAGAAGTCCACTTGATTTTTATTTAAACATTTAATTTTAATCACTGACATTGACACAAACACCTGATCTCCATATAATTTCTGACCTGATTACATTTACACCTGATATTAATGTGTCTCCAGTGTCTATATGGAGATCCCATAGTGATCTGATCTCTCTGTCCAGATAACGATACGTCAAAAGATTCAAAATGACAAACCAAAAAATATTAATAATAAAAAGAAAAAAAGAAAAAGAATGGAAGGAGAAGGTTGGTCTCCATCCACAGGTGCTTGTCTGAATAATATGAGGGCTATGGAGAAAACCACTTCATATGATTACTGGCTAATTGCTGCTATAGCTGCTGTTGCCTCACTGGTTTGGAACAACTGTGTAGTTGTCGTACATGGATTGACGATGCACTTTCATTTACACTTCGTGTTCACTGTGGTAACAATTCCCAATTCCTCCCTGACCAGCTGCTGAGGTGGTTTGGGTGAATTTACACCTGTGCTTTCATGTGGTCAAGCTCTATCCAATTATAGTCTTACCACATTAAACACACTGGTGTAAATGGGGTGTGTGGCATGATTAGTAAATATAACTGTGATCTCACTGCCATCACGATATATTAATGGGGGTTTAAGGTCAGAGTTGGGGTCTTAGGAAATGCTCATTTATAACACTCCACAGTGTACACTGCACTTCCCCTAAGAAACACACCCATGGCCAGGATTGAACTTAATTGGAGAAACAGTTGTTGAGAAAATCAAAGCACAGACAGTGGGTGGACGCTTAATCGAAAACGGCGGGAGCGCATCCATTTTTTATGACCCCAGTGGGAATCGAACCCCTGACCCCAGCAGTGTAAGTGCATATCTCTGCCCTCGAGGTTACAAAAAACATAACAGTCTTGTATTCTGCAGAGGGCCTGTCTCTCTGACATAAAGGTGAAGAGAGGAGCACAGCCACAGAGGGCCCACTATGATGATGGATAGATGATAGAATGGAAAAGAAAAGGTCATAGTTGTGATTTAAGGAGGTCTTGCTTGTCTTTGTAGATTAGACCCTGGAGCACAATTGTGGCTCCGCTTCTCCTTTTTTCTGCTCATCCTCCCTGCCTCCCTTCACCTCTCCCGCTGCCTCCATCTTTTTTTCCACCAACGTCTTTTCTCTGTAAATCCTGTCTACTCTCGACATGCCAACACACAGCAGTTAAATGTGGAGGTTTAAGTGTGAGGGGCGAGATCGTGATACAGCGGAGTGAGAAGAAACACAGAGGGGGAAAGCCGGCAGGACGCGTAAAGTGAGAAGTCTGGATTCTTGAAGCGAACGAAGAGTGAAGTCAAGGGGGAAGAAAAGAAAAACAGTGTTTCAGAGGGAGGCAGACAGACGGCAACGTGTCCCTCCAGGGGTTGTCTGACACTTCCACTTTCATCTGTAGCCTTTTATTCTTCTGCCTGCCACATCGCTCCATCACTTATCAAACCAGACGCAGGAGCGCAAAGATGGGCAGAGTGCAAGAGGGGAGTGTTATTCTGACGAAAGGAGAGGGGAGTGGGATGGAAGATAACGCGTGAGATGGATGGGTGTGTGAAGTGGGGGGGGTCTAGATGTGACAGAGACACGGAGAAGAGAAAGGGGTGGAGGAGGAGGATAGAATAAGAGGGAGGGGAAGAGAAAGGCCATCGTCCATCACCATCAGCAGAGAAGGATCATAGAGCTGGAAGTGATTTGTAATTCTGACCCTGTCTGAGGAACCAAAGACTCTGAGACGTAAGACGAATCAATGTGCTTTGTGTTTTAATGTCGTGATTGAGCATTCACTTCCACAGCAAAAGTAATTCTCTCTGAGTTCTATTGTCTTTACACCTTATTTTCTCATCTGCACCCCTTTTCCATTTTTCTGTTTGTTTTCTTCAGCTAAAGTCCTTATAGCCCATAACATCTCTGGTTGATGTCATTCTGCAGTTAAAGACATCTGCATGTGTGTAAGAAAAGAAACTTCTTAACCCCGAAACACAAATCAATTATTCAGTCCGATAGAGGTAGGGCTTGAAATAGAATATCCACCCCTCCAAAGATTTTACTGAATAAAAACAACTTATTGATATTCTTCAATGTGTATCGTACTGCATTACACATAAGCTATTGTATCTGCTCACAGGTGGTCACCGCAGTTAGTGTCCGGTGGATCTACGACAACAACAGTCTGCAATTTTGCTTTAGAGCTCTTTACATGTGAGCGCCTTGTCACACCCGGCAATGAACCCGACACACTGATGCTGCATCATTCGTTGACTGAGGCCTGAGCAAACGTTTTAATCCATGTGTCGGAGTATCAGCAACATAAATTGAGACTAAAAAGTAACACAACCTTAATTACCTCCAAAAATGTTTTTTCAGCGAATTTAACATTCTGATGCTTTGAGGGCTGAACTGAATAAAATGCTCCATGTTGTGTTTGAATGAGACATAATGCTCATATTCAGGTTGATAATTAAAATTTAGGTTATTACTTGAAAATGTTTACATGCTCTAATGTTCAGAAAACACATCACTTTCCTCAGCCTGTCCGTTGCTGCAGTTCCTCTTTTCAGCCTCTGTCTCAAACACTTTGTTTTGGCTCCAGTCCGCTCTGTTGGGATTGCTTAACCACTTCCAGCACATGTAGGAAATGTCGGCCTCAGCTCACTTTTTAACTGCGTTTGTTAGGGCGTCCATTATGCAAATGTGGGCCATTGTGATGTCGTGTAGAGGTATCAACTGACAAGATTGTTTCAGAGTCAGACTCCCTTTACCCTGGACTTTGTGCTTTTGCATACACAAAACCCTTTAAAACACATTAAAGCAAAGGAAATCTGAAAGCATAATACAGTTCGTCTCTTTAAGGGGTTAAATCTATTTTCCTCTCTCCTCATGTCTTCCAGAGCGAGTTCCCTCACATGTCCCAGTTCTCCAGCCTGTCACCCATCCCAGGCTTCTCCTCCTGGCTCCAAGGCCTCCTCAGCCAGTACAGAAAGGAAGGCCGAGGCTCTGACCTCCTCTCTGAGCAGGAGTGGAAGGAGGTGGAGCAGGCCACCGACTCCTCCCCGGGAACCCAGACCGTCGACGCCCTCCGCAAGCTAATCGGAACAAGTGAATGGTTGCGCTCGGAGCGGCTGTCCAGTGTCCTGGAGCCCGTCCTGATGCGTCTCTGTGCTTGGTACCTCTACGGGGAGAAAAGGCGAGGCTACGCTCTCAACCCGGTGGCCAACTTTCACCTGCAAAACGGCGCCACCATGTGGCGACTGAACTGGCATGCCGACACCAGCCCCAGGGGTGTGGCGAACTCCTGCGGCATCATGGTGAACTATCGCTACTTCCTGAAGGAGACGTCTAAGAACAGCTGTGTGTACCTGCACAACAAGGGCATCGTAGCGTCAGAGCAGGTTCTGGGACTTGTTTCCCAATATCAGAAGAACAGCAAACTGTGAGCGAGATGAGGAGACGCTCATAAACGGATTAGCACTTGATATCACAATATTAATATCACATACTGAACACTTTATTTTGTTTAATTTGTCTGTAATATTTAATTAAAAAAAAGGCTCCGGGAGCTCCATTAAATGAATGTTAGCTGATAATGTTTTTGATTTGAAATCAGACTATTTGTCACATTGCATTTCTCATCCCATCTTGTGTAACTAGTACATAGGTTTTTTTCTTTGCCTCATTGCGTTTCTGGCAGAAGGTGTTTGATATTGTGTTTCCCAGGCTGAGAGACCGTAGCTAATGAAGCACGAGGCATCCGTCGATGCCTTTCTATGTTCCTGGATAACTGCGTGTGATGGTGAAGCAGGAGCAATGAGTGAGCGCAGCTACTGGAATAAATGATGTTTAGATTCTTGGCTGTCTCACTGCAAACATGGTGAAGAATGGATTGAATTATATTATTTTGCTTAGGTTGGGTTTATATACATCTGTTGACTGGAAATATTATTTCATATTAAATAATTCTCAACGAAACAGACTTATTTCCTGTTCCTGTGTATAATCCCGGCTTGTATTTTCCGGTCGTCTTTGCTTGCTCTCATGTGTAGGTCCGACCCTCCTGGTACCCTCTTCCGCCCAGGTGCATTTCCGATAATTTTGCCTTCACACACTCCGACCTAAACCTCTCCAGAGAGCCATCGCTGATTTTCTAACTACTCTGTACAGGTGCCAAGCAGGGCTCATATCAGCCAACACCCCATTGTTGTGAAATAATATATCACAGCAAGTTGACTGTGAAATTACATTTTATCTCTCAGGAGAGCCAACCTTTCTTTTCATTTTTTTCATACGGTCTCTACCCCTCCCCAGCCCACCCACTCCCCCATTTTCTCTGCCTGGTGCTGCTCTGTGTCCTAGAAACTAATGGACTGAGAAATAAAGTTAAAGTACAAGACTAGATTGATGGTGTTCAGTTGTGAAGAAGGGGGGAGGAGAATAAAGAGGCATAAAAAGGACAGTTGTTTAAAGGATGCCCTTGAGAGACAGCGCCGGTGTCTCCAGAGATATTGGAAACAATAAGGGACCCAATGCCTCTCTGTGCACTGATGTGCGCGGCGGACACGTTGAAGAGCGATGCTGTCACGCCATCTCACAATGGAGAGGGATGAACACCGTGGTATCCGTTGCCATGGAAGCAGCGGCGGTGACATGATCCAGACTTCACAGCTGACGCTTGTTTTGAGTCACCTCTGCCCAGGACTTGCCGATGCCAGTGAACACAGAGCAGTTCAAAGTCCAGAGGTTTTTAATTATAGATTCTGTATTATGTATTATGTCCCACAGTGAAAGTAACATTTTGTTTTTTCAAAGTAGCCCGGGTATTTCCCATGAGCCTACGAAGACAAATTGCCCACATGGCAAACTATTAACAGCACTGAAATCTGATTTATGGACACATCGGGTGCTGCTAAATGAAATGATTCAAACCTCTGCATGCAATGGAGACTTTTGTAGATGAGTCAATCGCTGCAGACCCACTGTATCTGATGGGAATGCTTTTAATTGTTTCAAAGGTGCAGAAAATAAAAGTGCTAATCGTGTCCACTTTTCATGTGTTTAATGGAGGTAATTTGATAAGTGCTGTTCAAATGAATTGTATCTGAACATGTAATTACTTGAAGTCACATTGCAACACAGGCGGCTTGTGACACTTTAAACATCTGTGATCAAATTGCAGTAGAATTAGATTGCTATGTTAGAGCTTTCTGTGGACAAATGTAGGTGCTATTATTCCGATCACTGACAATTTCCGCAATGGTGCAGTGTGTGCTTAGGCCAGTCCTCATTTGTATCTAATCTTGGGGTTGATTGCAGTTTTGTCACATTTCCAGTCCAGCACACGTTGATAATGGATTCACAGCCAAGTTCAATATTGTACAGCTCTGTTTTCTGACACGTCTTAGAGCCAATACTTAACAAAAAGCAGCAGAAGACCTAATTACAATTGATTAGAGACTGTCTGCTCTGGAAATCCATGTCTAATCTAAAAATAAGTCAGTAACTCAAACAGTTATTCTATGTTTATTTTGGTTTTTTTAAAGATGGGGCAGTGCATGTGTGCAGGGAAGTGGTGCATTTCATTTCTGGTCCCTCGTTCAGAGGAAATTGCCTTACAAATGAAGCGAATCAATTTTTTGCAGATCACAGTGGCAGGAAAAGTCAGAGAGTGATGGCTGAGGCGTTTTCATGATCTAATTCAGGGGTGGGGAATGTTCGACCTCTGGGACTCACACAGCCCGCGAGTCTGTCTGATCGATCAGAGACAATATATGAATACAAAAAGAGCTACTGAGAGATACAAAAAAATCTGTGGTAAAATAAAAATAATATGATATAGGCTAATGTGGTCTTCAGGGCGTTTTTTTCTGTCTGTCAGGTCATGGTCACGATGAACACCACAAGCACATAGTTGTTATATGTCATGACAAGTGTTATGGCAACTGCAATGATGTGCTGCGCTTTCCAAGAGAAATTGATCAACATTTTCCATTGAAGCAGAAGACAAACCAGTGTGGCTAGTTAGTAAAGACGTGAGTGTTGTTACAGCTCTAAACATAGAGCTAAACTAGATGAGTTCAACAGATGTTCATGCATAAGGTTAATGTTCTTTGTTGGAGTTGCTGTGCCCAACACACCACATTCTGACAGAGGCAATGTTACACATGCAAGTTTCGCTGTAAATTTATATCACAGATATGGAAAAAATGCTAAAAGAAATGTGTAGTTTTTCTCTCTGGCTCAGTACAGATATTACAAACCACCAAATTACCAATTTTTCATCATGGGATTTCTGCTCGGATCTTTGCAAGTAACAAGTTGCATCTTTCCACTCTGCAAGAACAAGATCCTGCAATGATGACCGAACATGCTGGTGAGTTTGCAAACCCCCTCCAGGCATTTGGAGAGAAGTTTCCAGATATGAAAAGTAAACAAAGTGAAATGAACCTATTTGTAATGGTTGACGTGACGGCATCAAACTGCAAAGCAATGACGAGCTCAAAGCTTAGACAACATCCTCCCTTTGCTCCAGCGCTCTAAAAACTGTATGTACATCCTGAGGATATTCCTGCTCTGAGGAGACATGCACTGACGTTTGCATCTGCTCGAGAAGACCTGCTGCTGTGAGCGGTTTCAAAATCAAGTCTTGAAAAAGATTCCGTTCTGCTCAAGACAGACTCTCCCATTGATTCATTATCATACGGTCTGAGATATAAACTTCATTTCTCTTTATAGATTTAAAAGACAACACAGCTCGATTCTTTAAACTGGTACAGGTTATAAACATTGGCACACGACACAAACCCGGGCCAAACCCAGTTAAGTCCAGGATTTCTTCCAATCTCTGTGGGAAACATGAATAGCTCAGACATGCCAAGTATGATCCAACAGTGCTCCACTCAAAGACAAATACAGTGAGATATAGACTCAGTAGAGATAATACCTCGACCTTAACCTTTAAATTGAATCAAACGGCACCAAATTTCCCCCACGTTTAGTTATCAGTCCCATTAATGTGTCGGATTTTTACTTCAAGATCCACAAATTGGTAAATACAAAATCTCAAAACTTCAAGGTCTTTCATCGGCCATCACACAACCTACATCTCCAACTAACTGTTGACATTTGAGTGAAATCAATGCATCCCACTTTTTTCAGCTTGAGTCGTGTGTTTTTTTATGCTGAGGACTTTTACACACATCCTGTAAATGTCATCGTGGGGTCTATTCACATCAGTGTTTGCAGCTGAGTGATGATGTGAAAAAAGTGGGATTTTTTGTTGATACTGAGAAGGTGTTTACCTGGAGACCACTGACTTTCCTGTGTGTGTGTGTGTGTGTGAGGGGAGAGTTCATCCAAGTGTGTTAATCCATTCTTCCTGGTTGCTGTTGCTGGCCCTCCTTCATGCTTCACACCTCACATCATCACCTTTCTCCCCCTTCTCTACCCTCTAGTAACCCGACCACTGCACCAACAGCTCATCCAAGCCCCCGGTCGACACACACACACACACACGTGCACGGTGACACACTCACTGCCTTTTGAGTATGCCCATATTTTGCAAGCTGTAACCTTTAGGGGGCAGCAGAGTTACATTCACAGTAAAAACAATGTTTGTCTGATGCGTTGGCCGACACCATCTTTCTCTAACTTTTCTAAACCACCATAACGTCTCTCTCTCTCTCTCTCTCTCTCTCTCTTCTTTCAAACCTTCTTCTTACATCTCCCCGTGCTGTCATTCCTTTGAGCTCCCCCCTGCGCCTCTGTCACAGTTGCGGAGTGAGTTGGAGATTGACAGATCTGCTGTGTCTGGTTAGAAGCAGTAATTAAAACTAATTTGGCCTGCTGATGGCGCCCCCCGCTTCATTCACTGCAATCAGTCAGTATTACATGACCCGACATCTTGTATCAGACGAGGTTATTGAATGAAAAAGAGGTGAACAGGCAGAGGTAGCATCACCCACGGGTGACAGCTACTCCCAGTTTGATACAGGTGCCAGACAGATTGGAAATGAGAAAGTGAAAACACTCTTCACACACACACGCACACACACACACGCACACACACACACACACACACATACACACACACACACTTTGTCCATTGTTGCTTCCCTTAAAAAAGTTAAACAGACGTTAAACACCAGGATGCAGATCTGCGTACGTCACACACAGGCTCTGTGGCTGAGCTCACTGATCAATTACACGCTCTGAGGCCCAAAGGTGATGATCACTTGTAAATCACTCTTCATTTGTCCTATCCTGTGTTCATCTTTTGCCCACGAAATCTGGGCCACCTGGAAAACACCTTACACTATGTGTGTGTGTGTGTGTGTGAACATGCGTGTGTGTTGATATAAATTACCTCCCACTGTGCATGACGCCAGTTTCTCAAACTTTCGACAGTTGTGGAACAAACCAGATGTTAAGAAATTTTGCGACGCAGATGTTCTGACTCACACATTGTTCGTACCTGTTCTTGTGCATTAAGTATCATCATTATTCTTCAGAGTGGTAACACCTCTGTAACAGACAAAAGCTGCACAGCATTATATTTGCAACCAATAACACAGTGGTTGAGGTAAAAACCTAATGTTATATTCCGAGACTCAACACAGCTCCTCTAGAGGAACAGAGAACATTATACGTCTGATTTGATTTGACATGAAGATCTTCACCCCCGAAAAAGCTTCAGGTTTAGGTTGTGTGAAAAAGATCTGAACTTTTTTTCCTTTCATTCATATTTATAAGAGAATATTTCAGGATCATTTATGAAGCAACTAATTCAAATTTGATTAAAAGGTCATAGGTGTGTCATTTATGCTCCAGCCGAAGAACAAGACAGGAGCATTTAAATTAATTTGAGCTTGTTTCTTTAAAAGAGACATGAAAGTGTGATGAAACACATGTGGCGGCTGAGAGACTCTTTTTCTTTTCCACTCAGATGAACTGAGTAATGAGTCAATGGCTTTTCCTGTCAAGAACGCTTTGTCTTTTATAGTCACTGCGTGCTTCCCGATGTGATCCATTAGACTACAGACCTCCTCCAGACTTCCAATCTCTCTCAAGCATCCTCTGAGTTATCTTCAAAAAATCAGTTTACTCCGTTTCTTTGCCTCCGATCGGCTCCCGCTGCACTATCCCTGCCTCCCCCCCACCCGTCTAACTCCCTTCATACATCGGTTTGCAGAGCTGCACATTAAACTGATGCACGGTCCTACTTCAGGAAGCTGAAGGTCTCATTTGAATAGACGCAGCAGCTGGGCTGACACGCAGGCCTCACCTCGTGAAGCCCTGCTCCTCATAGGGGGAGAGCGGAAGTCGACAACGGTGTGACAAATTATGTTCATTCCTCTGATTTATTCCTTCCCTTCTACTGCACCGCCACCCTTCTACACCTGACTCCCACCACCCACCCACCCCCCATCCTGTTTCCCATCTCCCCCTATCCTTTGGAGCGGAAGGCCTATTGCAGTGGTAATGAGGAAGGCTAATTAGGCTTGCTGTGTCTTTAGGAGGTTGGATAGAGATGATGGTGATGGAGGGTGTGGCAATTTTCCTCATTTTCTTCTGGATGCCCACATGCATACCCTCTCTGCTGTTTTAACATACAGTAATCTGAAATCTTCCCCACAGAGAGTCCTCTTTATCAAGGCTGCGGGCAGATAAGAGAAGGGACTCTCCACAAGGAAACTTTCATGCAGACACCTCTCACACTATTCAATTACTCAGGGGTCACACTCTGATACTCTATGCCATCAGAAAGAGTAGGTCATTTGCATTTCCATGGAATGATAAAATAAGTTTGAAAAGTAAAGGAGATGAAATGTTCTCAGTGATGGATTACCTGTCTCAGGCTATTTCGAGTCTCTGCGAGTTGATTTTTGTCGTGAAATTAATGAAAATCCTGGAGTACGTTTTAATGCACTCTTTGTTTGGACTACATTTTGTTTATAATGTGTAAATTAAACACATTCTTAGTTATTCATACACCTGCATATGTGATTCTCATAGA